CAATAATTCAAGGCGGTTATAGTTTTAAATGGGGGAATTGCTTGTGCCATTAGCTGGAATGGCTGAGTACCTCCTTTTCTTTACCGTCACAACTGTGTATATACATTTATACATTCTACATACACATTTATGGTACCTATGCACTGGAAAAGTTTGATAACTGCGATAGAACTCTTTTTCTAATGGCAGCATTGCTATGTGTTCTGTGCATTCACAGAACGTTTTGTAACTCCGAAACATCCACTAGGATTTCCTTTGCAAAACATATTTTTTTAAAAAAATATAAAAAGCAAAGAATGTTTCAAGGAACACATGGGTTAACATTGACAGAATCAACTGCTTCCTTAAGCATTCTGTTACCAAAAAGCAAGCTCAAATTAATTAAATAGACACAGCTGGAGGCCCACACTATCTGAAACAATGTATCACCTTTTACTGTTCCCAAATGATTATAGTGAACAGAAATTGAATGGCTCATATGGACCCTGGCCCTTCCCAGGCACACCAAGAAAATTAACCCTCTAAATGGCTGAACCGAACCACTTTTATAGCCTACTACTGATTTGGGAAAGGCAGTATTTGGTCACCCATTTCACAACAGCTGTTGCTTTCAAACAAATAGGATCTGAAACTTCTATACTGCTTGAATACAGTAATTACTGCTTACAATATCTAAGAATTCCAGTGCTTCAAGACATTCAAAATATTTAAGACACAGCTCTTTAACTCTGTTAACAAGCTTTGATTCCTATATCATGATTGTAACCTTAAAAAAATTCATATAAAGTTTACTGGGGTCGTCCACTTTGCTACGTGGGAATTGACACAAAGCTGCTATCTTGAAACTTACAACATAATAACATGTAGTAAAATAATTTCACTAAATTCAAAAAGCACCTCTTACGTAAGGAAGTTGCTACCAGCTCCTAGTACCACTCTCTCTGCCATTCTCTTGGCCTCGGTCCCCCATCTTTAATACAAGAATAATATTGGCCTGCCTTATACAGGATTACTGAGCTAATGATCGTGAAGCACTAATACATACTATTTTGACTCATCAATACAAGCCCACATATATGCCCCCACCCCAAAATACTCATCCTGAAGGCAAAGTGTTCTTTTATTCCCTAAATTCATTTGGCACAGCCTCCCTCCTTTTTTAAAAAAAAAGAGGGAAAAAATGTCATTCTTGGATCTCTGGACTGCTTAAAAGGTGCATTTAACTTTACACTGAGAAACCTGCAGAGAGTTTCCCTTGTGGAAATCCCACCTAGCTCTGCATCTTTAAACTGATTTCACTTAAAATATCCAACTGAACACTGTGATTGTCTCACGACAGTGGTACTTTGGTACTCGAACGGCTTGGCTTCCAAACTCGGAAGTAAGTGTTCCGGTTTGTGAACGTTTTTCAGAAGCTGGACATTTTTCGGAAGCTCCTGCAGCCAATCGGAAGCCGTGCTTTGGTTTTCGAATGGTTTCAGGAGTTGAACGGACTGCCAGAACAGATTAAGTTCGAGAACCAAGGTACCAGTGCAGTGGTAAAGCAATTAGTTTCAAAATTCCTGTGGGCAACGTGATGCACCTTGAATGGTCATCTTAATCTAAATTAGAGTGATACCAAAAAATGTTGAGGAGGGAAAGTTCAATTTTAGGTAAATACTGCTAGGTTCTTTGTTACCTGAAAAATAGTACTATTATCACAATACATCCCTGAAAACCAAGTGAATGAATATGCTTTGAAGTGGGAAAAGTATAACTGAATTTGAAATTACATTTATACAGATGTACAGTTTTTATAAGCTATGATAACCAAATTTATTTAAAGAAAAATCTGTATGTTACATGTAATGAAGTGTAGTCGTCTGGCTGAAAGCATACAATTGCATAGAACAATTCCCTTTGGTTACTGAAACATCCTATGTGGTTTTTCTTTTCTTTTTGAACAAAGAAAAAAGAATTCTTTCAATTCTACAGCCTACAGATCGAACTCCTAGCATCATTGTGTGCCGAAGGACTTTACATGCTGATGCCAATCTTGCAGAATATAACTCCAATGCACTCAGAAATATAATTAAAAAACAAAGCTGTTTGATATAAAATTGTAATAGAGAAAAGATAATCACATTCCAATAAAGTAGCAAAGGGCCAGTTTGCTTGACATTCACAATGGCTAGTTTTGCCCTTGCCATCTTATTCTAATGTGTCTTTATAATGAAAACTTTTTTGAAAAACTTGAAAGCAGGGGATCTTGATATTATACAGGAAGAAAGCTGCCGCTCTCCAAAGTAAATTCTGTTTTAAGTTATTAGTAAATCATTATTTTAATTTGAGATGCTTCCTCTCAAGAAACAATGGTGCTTGAGTGTTATCCCCTTATTTATATATGTTTCCCAGTATTAAAGAGGGATCAGCTGCTGTCAGCAGAACATCAAAAGGGTATGAAATCAATTATAAAGTTGAAAGTTTTCTTGAAAATCTTAAGTATTATCAATTTACTAATATGTGATAGGTTTAAAAGATTATCTACAAAACTGAAATGTAAGTAAAGCAATCACTAAATAGTTGAAAAATGTACAACACTGAAAGACCAATTTTAATTTGCATATTTTTGCTTAATAATGTCTAATTGAGACATCAGTTTGGAAAACAACAACAATAGAACTCTTAGATTTTCCACACTGAATTAACATTAAGGGTTTCTAACGGATGCCTTAATTAGATTTTATTATTCATGGAAACTTTACACAAAATAAAATCAGTTTCTACTGTCCCAATTCTGTTTCAGTCTAAGCAAAAAAATAGGTGGGCGTATATGAACGAGACTGCGGGAGATTTAATCCAGACACTGACATCAATTTGTAACTAAAATGTGACATTCAGCATTTAGAATTAGGATTAATACTCTAAGGGAAACAACTCTCTGCATTGTTTGGGCTGTAACACAATCCACACAATTGAAAGTAAGTTCCAAAGGAATTTGAGACTTAATTCCAAGTATATTTAGGATCAGGCTATTAATACTTTTTATTTGCATGTAAGAGCGTACATTTACTGTGGGATGGGATGAGAATGTTCCATCATTGAAGTCCAATAGCTACAATGGCTTTTGGAACTGTCCAAAGGAAGCAAGTTTTCAATGAATACTGACTGACTGACTGACTGACTGACAATGAATACAGAAAAGCTTCTTTCTTTCTCAAATTCTATTGCTATAGCATACAAATCACATGCTCTGTCTTTTCACATCTGCAAGTAACAGATTTACAATCAAAACAGTAAATAGGCATTTCTGCTATTATATCCTAGGTCTATTGCCAAAAGTGGTGCTGGGATATTGCTGTTGAACTTTGGCAGGTCTGTTGCACAGAGTTCCATCTTATCTGTAAGCTGAATAAAGCCTACATTAAACTTATGGGATAAGGTATCATCAATATGTGGTTCATACTCATTTCTGCTTCTTTTTCAGACAACCCAGGTGTAATGGTTAAATCCTTGAGCACCAGTCTGAATTCAAGAATGGATAGCATGAGAATGAATAAACTAAAACTCAGTTTTGGCAAGACAGTGTTAGTCATTCCTGAAGGCTGAAAAGCACAGGAAATAGTGAATCTACCTGCTACAGTAGAACTGAAACTCAAGGATAGTATTTTAGGATACTTCTAAGAATTCACTAGTGCGTTCTGAGTGCTAGCTACAGTTTGGCAAAGCTCTCTTCCTGGGGAAACACTTCCAACTCCAGTAATCTTTAGGAGAGCAGCCATAATATTTTTATTCTGCCAGGCTGTCAAGCTGTTGGTTCCCCCCGGCCGGTACTTATGTTATGCTGCCTTGAATTAAATGTAATATCTAGATTCTTGTTTTATTAATTGTATCTCTCTAACTTTTCTTGTACGCATCTTTCGGAACCGCAAAGTGGCTTACAAACTGAAGTGCTTAAAACAGAATTAACACAATTTCAAACTATAAAGGAAAGAGGAAATTAAAATGCATTTTCATGTGCTTTACTATCCATTATGGAGAATATCTGTTTGCAATTCACCTAAAATACACCCAGTGTGAACTATGGGATTTGACAGGAGCACTGAGGAAAAGACAGTGAAACCAGAAACTGAACTTTGTAATAACACACACTGCAGATATTTCAGTCCGACTAGATTGCATATGACATGTTCTGATGCTGTTGCGCACAGCTGTACACAAGTCTGTTACAAATGACTTCACTGCTGCTTTGGAAACACATGTGAACTGCTGCACATTTATTTGCAACTTTTTTATATAAATAACAACAACTAGAAATGTAGTCTTCCGTTTTTGTGCAATGCTTATTAACTTAACTTCCCCACCACCACTAGTTCAAAGATTTGCCGAATGCATGCAAATCACTGCAAAGCTGCATGCAACTCAAGAGGATTTCATCTAACACTGGCTAGTCTATAAATAGGATTGCCTGCTCTCTCTAGTGGGGTTTACATTAGCACATTCCTTGTTTCTCCCTGAAGCAAGCACGTCATCCCTATGTTTCACCCACATTAACTGCCATAAACGGTTGCAACTTAAACACAAAGTAAGAACGCTCTACCAGCCACAGGCTTGAAAACCTTGTATACAACCAAAGCTCACATAGTCAACTACGGACGAGGTACACAAATGTTTACCTTGTCGTTTCCCCACAGTTATCATTTCACAAGACTAAAACCATGGCATAATTCTGAGTTCAGAACTCCTGGGGTGGGGAAAAAAACAAATGTAGGACTATCCTCTATTCGTCATTCAAATGTGATCCACAAAAGCAAGAGTGGTTGGAATTGGACTACAAGTGATCGTTCCACTTTTATCCATCCATAGCTAATTTTAAAAGGATGCTGAACTAATTATGCTGCAAGACTCAGCTTGTAGACCACAGGTGCAACAATCAGATCTAAAAAAGAACTTTCATAGAACACATTCCTCCTAAGATTACTCACAGATTTATTTTTGTGTGTGCGCGCGCGCTACAGTACCTGGCTGGTTTGTGGACTGGACGGGTCATAAGAGTAATTCTTCAGAGTATCCTGAGGATTCAGGTGAGGAGGATACCGGATTGTTGGGTGAGAGAAGTAGCTAGATGGCGCAGGAGGAAGAATAGCTTGTGGTGGAAATGGCAATGGTGAAGGTGGAGGAGGAGTTCTAGTTGAGATGACTAGAAGAGATAAGAAAAACAGAATTTGTTAAGGACCTTTCGTTACGGTAAAACTTTGCACCCATGACATGGCAAGAGAAACCCATATCAGACAAATAATAATAATGATTTATTTTCTTGCCTTCTTCACAGGTTTCATCTGCAACATCTTAAAATCACCATTACCATCATCATCATCATTCTTTATTAAATTTCTATACCACCTTTCATCTGAGTATCATGGTGTGGTTTACAATATAAAAACACAAAAATACATACCACAGTAACTAACAACCGCTCACACAGTTTAAAAGGCTGCAGATTGCTTAATTAGCCAAAGGTCTGGGAGAAGAGAAATGTTTTTGGTGCCAAAGCTATGTAATGAAGGCGCCAAGCAATCCACAAATGAGGAGCCACTGTAGAAAAGGCTTGTTCTCATGTTGCTCAAAAACATTTGATTGCAACATTTTGTTTTCTTGAAATCTAGTGTTCTATAAATTTTGTTAATTAAATATACCATTGCTGTTTTCTAAAGGCATAAAAGGCCAAATAATCACATTTCACATACTTTATTCAAACTTTTCTTTAAATATAGAAATTATTGCCCTACGAAAAATGTATTTTAGTTATCAAGTATGGCCCAAAATAATTTTCTGTGTGGGGGAAACAAAGAGTTGTAAGAGTTAGCAAATGATTTCACAATGCTTTGTGCTACGCCCCTGCTAATGTATCGTATTGATCCAAATATAAGCTGCACCCGCAAAGTTCGGCGGCTTAGGGTAGGTTTGGGAGCCTTGGGCAGGACGGGCGTCGTTGCCCCACGCTCCCAGGCTGCTTTCTGGAGGGGAGCCATGTTGCTTTGCCGGTGGTCTTCCCCCCCTTCCCCCTTCTCTCATCTGATGTAGGGGAGGCTTCGAGTGGTGGGCAGCCTGCGCACTGTTGCTATGTGTTCATGGGCTGCTTCCTGAGGGGGGGAGCCGCGCCATTTTGCCGGCGGCATAAGGTCGCGAATATAAGCCGCACTTTAACTTTTCACAATCAGAATTTGAGGGAAAATGTGTGGCTTATATTCAGGCCAATACGGTATGTTGGGGGTAGGGGAAGGATTGCTAAACAACAACACTATGAATAATTAGCTGCCCATTGTGAAAATACTAATGAATATTCAACTTCGAGCCGAGGAAAATACCTTGCCCAATGACAATATCTGTCCTGGACAAAAATAGTATTGTATATTATACATAATTTTTTCCTTGAATTCTCCTGCACCCTACAAATTTCTCTATCAAGAGTGTATGGAATGTCTAAAACACTGTAATACATAATATCTGGTTACTACAGAGTTGTTGCACCAGGCCATGGAGATTATGTCACTACATGTACACAACAATCACATACTATTTATATAAGGGGATAATGTGTGAAGGATAGCTCAGCTGGTTAAGCACGAGACTCTTAATCTCAGGATCACAGTTTGGGCTAAAAGATTCCTGCATTGCAAGGGGGTTGGACTAGACTACCCTTGTGGAATGATACACAAAAGGGAGAAAGTGGTCCATGGTATCTATAGATTTTCAAAGCACATCACTGCATCAAAACTCCAGCAGCTAATGAGATATTAAGTGCTTTGCTTTAAAACTTCATGATGATGCTCTCCTAAGTGCAACAATCCGTCTTCAGCATTTCAGCTAAAGACAAAGTTGATACTAATGCTGTGTACACATTACTGCTTACACTGGCTCCAGCACACCTCCCACCTCTGGTCTTCAAAGTCAAGTGCGCATGCTGTTGGCCACAATGCAGATGTATTTCCTGGAAAATACTCCTGCTCAATGTTCTGTGCCTCATACTAGCTTCCATCCAATTGGAAAACAGAAGCTGCAGTTAGGCTGAGGTGTGTGCATTTCAGGAAGCTGTGGCACATGCGCTGATGACAACGCATGTGCAGATGTCAGCTTTAGTGAATTGGCACCCTGCTCCCTTTATAGTGTGAACAGCAGCATAAATATGAGGCTTTAAACATGGGTCAGAGGGGACACCTTGCTGTGTACATAGCCTAAGACCCTGTAAGTTATATGGCAGAGTTAGTTTTAAAATACTAAAAAATTTTAAACTATCAATTATGCTTGTTTCGTAGCACACAGGGAGAAAGCTTGAAAGCAATTTCAAGGAGATGCTTTCAATTTTTTTTTAAAAAAAACATACAAATGTGAAGTGCTGCAAGACATTCTGAAGGATCTTGTTTGGTGTTTCCTTGAGCAGTTTTGTTTCCTTGGCAGTTATTTTCTTTGATGGGTCATATGGCTGTTCCACAAATACACATTTCCTCTATAAGTGTCCTTTTCTCTCCTCTGCTTATGCTAATTCCCCCAACCTCTTTCCTCTAGATCCCATTCATTATTTTCTCAGTGCAGTTATTCGGGGTATTATGTGCCCGAAGGAGAAGATTCAGATGGTTGTTAGGTCCTTCTGGGATCTCTCTTAGTAAAGAAGGCGGCAGTTAAATATGCAACGCTAAGGGATAGTTGTTTAAGCAAAAAATAATAATAATCCTTTCATGTTTTGAGTTTAGATCAGTAGCAAGGAAACAGAGAGGAACTATTTTGCTATCAACTGAGGAAATCTGTGTTGGAGAGAAATCATTTTCCTATTTATAGTTCGCCCTTTTTTAAGCCTTTGAAATAAACCTGTTCAAATTGCATGCTACGTCTTTGGCTGCAATCCTACACACATTTACATGGGTGGGCAAAATGAGACTTATTTCCAAGAAAATATGCAAGAGATTGTGCTATTAATTTAATATTGCACCTATGGAATGTATTCTACGGCTTACTAATGGAAAGACCCTTGGAAAAGGAAAGATTAAATTCAGGAAGTTATCAATACTATAAGCCTTTGCGATTCATAACCTAAGCATTCCCTTATTTTTATTCTGAACTGCGTGTCTTTTAGTCCTTATCTGTTTTAATTATCAGTTCTTATTCATCAATTATCTGTGTTTAATCTCGTACTCTATTCACATGTTTTATCCTGTGCTTGTTTCTTTGTTCTTATTTGCTTTAACAATTGCCTGTTTAAATCCTAACTGCTATTTTACTCATATGAACTTATTTTCAAGGAAAGAATTTTACTCAAGTTCTGCATGTAAATCTCTTTATCACTAGAATCTCATTATGATAATTAATTTCAACACGGGAGGAACAATATCTAACAGGTAACATAGAATTACAGGTTCACATCCATTTTGAGATTATTTGTCATCCCAGGAAACTATAGCATATAGCAGTGAATAAACTTCTGTGACATATAATATAGATATGTTGGGGTGGGGTGGGATTGTAAAAGTCTGTCCCCCACCCCCACCCCTGGTTTCAAGAGATTTATTCTAGCTAAAGCACACTGAAATTCTCAGGATCTCTCCCTTCATGTAACTTTGTGCTGAACGTTAAATTGAGCATTAAGTCAATAAAAGGGGTGTTATTGTGGCTGGGGAAAGACTAGCTCGGGGTTCAGAGTTTTTCCATCCCTCTCGCATCCTCACCACTGTGTGTAACTCCCGGGATCCCTGGATGGTGATGCTGGAAAGTGGTCAGTCTTGGTGAAGAATCCTGGGGAGATGTAGTGCTAAACAAAGGCTTTTCGGGTTTCTTCATTGTAGGAGAAGACATATCTGCAGTGACGACACGACATAATAGATATGTTAGCCCAGAGATCACATAGCACCATTCTTATTTATCAGTCACCCGGCACACGAAGGGACTCCGAGCAACATTTAAAAATAAAAAGAATACAGCATCATATAAGATAAAAAGAGAAGAACATTGCATTATATTAAAATCCGTAGAGTGACCTAAATAAAACCTAATGAAACAGCAGTAAAAACTTCAGCAATGAAAATGTACCATTAGTGGGCAGAAAAATCATCTTAATTCATCAAACATCTGAGAAAGGTGTTAAGTTTTTGCCTGGAACAAATGCAGTGTTAATGATGGCACCTCAAGTGGTTCTACTCCACTGCCAAAGCCCAGACCCCCAGCAAATTTCAGTCTGGTTTGCAATAGGATGAATCCACTGACTGCCCCTTTCCTAAAATGTCTCTCTCTCTCTCTCTCTCTCGTGTGTGTGTGTTGAGGGGGGACTTGTGGCAACATTAAGCTTCACTCTTAAGCCATCCATTGCCGCTGTGGCCCCGAAAACCAAAATTTTCAGTTTGTCCTTGTTCAGTACACCCAAACAGGAAGAATGGATAGCACCACACCCAAGATTCCTGGCAGTAACGGAAGTTTCTAAGTATGCTCAGAATCCTTCATTGTCGCTGGAAACACTTCAGTCTTAAAAAATGATCCTGCAATCACTCACTGCCTCTGTAAACTGAGCAGATTTGGGGGGAGAAGGCAGACTGATTATGGAGAACTTGGGGGCTGGGGGACTGGCAGGAAGCTGCCAAAGACTCAAGCGTCTTTTCCAGTACTCTCTGAGGGCGCTTCCAGAATGTTGAACTTTGGCGTGAATCTTTCACACAATTGGGTAGATGCCAACACATGGCATTTGCAGAATAAGAGTGCACCTTCATAGCCCACAGCAAAGATAAGTGGTGTGTTCATTGAGATAAAGCAACTTCCAGCACAATCCAGACTTTTTGTGGTAAGGAAAGTAGAGCATAACAACCACTCAACAACAACAGTGTATAACCTCCACAATTTTGCAAAAACGAATCCGAACACCTGCTCAATATACGATTCATCTGGAAGTGACCTCAGAAAACTCTTGGAAAGACTCCAAGAATTTTCTGAGAAATCTTAGAAATGTGAAGCAAATGAGCAGGAAGCAAGCTGGCGGAACCCTTCCCATGATTAGTTTTCAGAGACCGCCTACCCATCCACTTGCTGGGAGTAGACAGAGAAGTAGACACACAAATGTTTTTGAGTGTAGTTTGAAGTGTGTCTCCAATATTATTCCAGAAAAAACACCTGCACGTATCAAAAGATATAGAGGAAAACCTCTATAAAAAGCCATTTTACAAACTAAGTATTAATTTGCCTTGTGTAAATTTTAAGGAGTTGTGGATTAAGAGAACATGGGGCTCTTTCTCAGCCTAACTGACTTCTCCGAGCTGATGTGAGCATAATGGCCCTGAAATACTAGGAAGAGTGAGACAAAATACTGAAAAAATGAATATTCATTGTAATGTATAACTGAAATCAGTATCTAATAACATAAACTTGCATCTACAAGAGTTGTAAATAGCAGCACCCTTCTTCTTTGGTTAGCATCTTTTCATTTTGCTAGACAACAACATCCTTTCTACTCCAGCACAAAAGCCATTATAAACATTCGCTTCATAAAATTTAATAAATATTTGCTTTTGGCAAGGTGACTCTTTCATACTTATATAATCTCAGTGCTAAGAAGACATTCCGTTAAAATGGTCTGCGAGGGGGGTGATGCAAGCTCCACACCCAACTTGAGGGCAAAAAGCGCTAAAACCTCCCTAGATTACTGTAAATCTTGCATTTTTGCATGTACTCTACCTGGCGCTGCCCTTGCTGATGACCCAGAAGCTGTAGTTACGGCAAAATACGGTGGCCAGGTTAGCGAGTTAGCCAGCTGGAATCGTATTACTGCAATTCCACGGGATTTGCAATGGACTTCCAGGCCCAATTAAACACGCTGATGTTATTCAGAACGTAAGAAGAGCCTGCTGGATTGGGTCAATCTGGTTCAACATCCTTTTCTCACAGTGGCCAACCAGATGTTGTTTATACTGTTGACGTACAAAGCTCTATGCAACCTGAGACCCAGATATCTGAAGGAAAACCTGCCCAGCTGTTAAGTTCTGAAGGATGTCCCAAATCCAAGTATAGACCATTAGGAGAACAGGTTTTCTTAGTGCCTTAAATGTGGAATGCCCTCCTCACTGAAGACTGAGGCACCTACAATGTTATTCTTTCCATGGGCTCAATACTTATTCTTTTCACCAAGTCCTTAAATACTGAGATATTACACAACCACCCGCAGCATTTGTTTAATTTACAATTTTTATTTCAGCACTGGTTTTATCAACTAATGTTCTGTAAATGACATTTCTTGCAGTATCTTTTTAATGCTCTGTTAAAATATAACAATCCATTCTTCTACATCTTCGGTTTAATATATATATATATATATTGATAATACGGAGTAACTGAAAAAGAATACACAACAGGACTGTGTCAAGAAGACTAGAGAATGGGAACCACATATATATCTCCTTCATTTGGGGTGGTGGAGAGATAAACAATTAATGCTTCTCTACAGGATTTTAAGTGCTGGCATCTCTAGCTGACACCAGTTAGAAATGAACATTATGCTAACACAACACAAGATCATAACATCCATACACGTCTCTGAATAAAACTGGTGTGAGTTGGTGGTGGAATTAAACGGAGGTATGGCTAGATTAAAAGCTTGGAAGTTATTCTTGCATAATACTATAAAGGTAAGGAATATGCATGTCTGGACCGTGTTATGTTATAAATTTAAAACACTAGCACATCAAAGAGATAAAGGCTTATGCAAATTGGGGGGGGGGGAGAACGTTAGATCAACTCATCTCCCAACAAGGTAATTCTATCTACAAAGGAAGGCAAGAGAGAGAGTTGCTGTGAAGCATAATGTATGTAGCCAGCTCAACGGCAGCTTGCACAAATGGCGCTCCAGATGTATATCTGCTCAAGTCAGCCCAAGGCAACTATTTTGATCAATTCTAATGTGATAAAATGCTGCGGGGAAGGAGTGCAGAAATGTGTTTACGTCAGACTTTAATTAAACTGTTGTTTGCTTCCAAAGAACCTTAGGAAACACTAATGAGACATGAGTTTCAGCAATTTCCTCATCAAAAGCACAGACCCTCTGCCTCTGCACGGAGCTGTCTGCCATCCCAGGAGCTCCCTCGATAAATGTCACATGGCGCCCCAATCAGTGAGCCACCTGTTAATGGAACATTCCTGGAGTCAACTTGTGAGAGAGGCAGAGTTCAAGGATCCACCTGCCTGCATTGGACACCTGCTCGGCTTTCACAGGCAGTAACACAACATGTTCACTTTCCCATGAATCTACAGGAGGAGAGCCACCAAGGAATAGGGGCACAGGCGCAGAATAAATAGTTTTGCATCTACTGCAGCCAGCCCGGTTTAATTCCCAAATCCACCTCCATTTAGTCGCAGCTTCAAGCTACTTAATTAAATGAAATCTTTCTCTGCAAGGAGCACTATATTGAAGCTAAAGAACAATAAGCAAAAGGACTATAGTTAGGAGTTATTCCACAAACATTTGTGCAAGAGTTCAAAGTGCTGTAATAGGCACGCCCTATCACGGTTCTTCTGCTTCCTCTTGCATAAAAGGATGTGCATGGTCTTATGCAATCAGAACATCATCTATCGATTTATTTTCACTTTTTTGTGCGATTCTCAAGTAGTGCAAAAGTAATACTTAAAAACAACAACACGTGTTACACCTTCTGCAAATGGGCCCAACTATTTCAGGCAATGCCAGCCTAACTGAAATATTTATTCCTTTTCAGTCTTCCCTAATTTAAGCAGGAAGGGAGCGATCATTTTTACACCTAAGAAAACTCTTTAAAAGGGGGGGGGGAGCAGATTAGTATCTGACTCTAAATACATAAAAAACAACCCCTCGCTGACTTAAAACTCTTAAACGTAAAACTTAAAAGCACAGGTTTTTACAAATTGGGTTGTATTTTAGCATTTTCAGGTGCTGGATAAAGCACTGGTGAGTTGCCAGCAGATTAATTTCCCTAATTATGAACAGTAAAAGACGTCATCTTCATATATGTCTAGGAAAGAGATGGACTACCCTACTTTGAAGTAAGTTTGTTAGTACATAGTACAGAGCTTATACATGGGCAGGAAAGTTACTGGCAGACAGGTTTGGATTCAAAATTGTCCCTTAATTCCCTCCTCACTCCCTGCATATAAGCTGCACTTGGAGAAACAATCATGATGCAGGCAAAGCTGACCTCAATAACCATCCACTAAAAAGGAGCATTATGAATCCATTACCAAAGTATGGTAAAAGGTAAAGGACCCCTGGACGGTTAAGTCCAATTAAAGACTACTGCAGGGTTGTGGCACTCATCTTGCTTTCAAGCCCAGGGAGCGGGCGTTTGTCCACAGACAGCTTTCCAGGTCATGTGGCCAGCATGACTAAACCACTTCTGGCGCAACAGAACACCGTGATGGAAGCCAGAGTGCATGGAAACACCGTTTACCTTCCCGCCACAGCGGTACCTATTTATCTACTTGCACTGGTGTGCTTTCGAACTGCTAGGTTGGCAGGAACTGGGACAGAGCAACGGGAGCTCACCATGTCATGGGGATTCGAACTGCCGACCTTCCAATGAGCAAGCCCAAGAGGCTCAGTAGTTTAGACCACAGCACCACAAAGTGCACACAGGTGTAATACAGTTCCAAGAGATCCTTGAATTACACAGGCCTCCACTCGGGCAGCCTCCTCATCCTGTCTGTCATGATGATGAGCTCTTTCCTAATGTTCTCCAGAAATTAGAAGGATCAATATGCTGGAGAATATACATATAATACAACTGTACTAGTAAGATCACTCTGCAATGTTAAGAACACCCAATTACAAAATCCTACCTAAAACTAACAA